GAGAGGATCGTCATGGAGAGGAGATGTACATGAACAGACAAAAACAGATATGATCTCTGCACATCCCTGTACAAGTCGACATTGCATAAATGTTGTTTACCTCCCAACTGACCGTGTGTGTGTCTGTGTGTGTGTGTGTGTGTGTGTGCGCAGAAGAGAGAGGGAGAGATATCATCACTGACTGTCTTTCTCTCACCTCTGCCTGTTTTACAAGCATGAGGTTTACAATAAGGTGCTGAAGGACACGAGCATCAGTCTGCTCATTAGGCTGCAGAGGATAGGAGAGATGAAGAGAAAGATAAAGGGAGGAGAGGGGAGTTCCGCCTCTTCTTCATCATCCATCCTTTAAGACACATGTCTGTCAGCCACTCCCTCATACTGTCAGTGAGCTGTCTGGAATTCCTGAGCACTGTTCACTGATTTTCTCCATTCCCCAGTTCCATTCTTTCTCCCCAATCTGTCGTGGAATTACACTTCTAAATAATTTTCCTCTCATTCTGGCATGTGCCCTCACACCAGCCCCTTTGGTGCTGTTTAAAGGAACTTGTGTGTCTTTGCTCATTTGGTTCTTATAGTTTAGCAGACTGCTTAAAAAAGGGGCTTTGTCACAGTGTGGTCTGTTTGTGGTGTGAAAGCAAATAGAAACAGAAGAACTGTATTAATCGATGAGGGGAAATTTGATTTTTTTACTCAGTTATTTTTTCTTTACACACACAGAGGCCCGAAATGCACGCGCATGCTCACAAAGAATGTACAGACATGCATTTATAATTGTGGAGAGACTCCAGGCAGCATACCAGGCTGGGGTCTGGTGCACTGCTCAAGGACACTCCTATGTAATTTCGCTACTTATAAATTAAAAAATAACTGTAGTCCATTCAGTATTACAGTGCAGAGGAGGGCTAGTTAATGTTTGTGGTGTAATGGCGTAATGCGCTGGTTGTAAAACTTTTTACACTGCGTACTACCTCAGAAAATAAAGGCTCTATAAGTACCACCGCCACCATGACCAAAGTTAAAATACTGTAGCATAGGCCTACCTGTTCAGCAACAGACAGTTCATGTAGGAGGCAGGTTTATTCTTTTCATAAGATTATTTGTTGTTGATGCCACAGTCATGCTGTATAAAGATGTAGCACTTCAACTGGGACTTTAACCCTTCCACTGAAAGGGCAAGACTTCACTAGTGCTGTTTAAAGTGGGATTTATACTTCTGTGTCAAATCAATGCCATAACCTACACCACAGCCTGATGTGCACCTCCCAAGAAATGAAACTACACATCACAGCGACACAAACCACCTGACTATTTTTGCAAGCTGAATACCATTTCCTTCAAAGCTTTTGTTTACTTTTATTTCACAGATAATTAACAATATATCTTGAAGACAATAAAGCCCCCACAAAATAGCATTCTAAGTCTTTTGTGAAATTTATCATGGCTTCAAATGAGTAGAGGAAATTGCTAGGCTCATTTATACAATGTAAAATGCCATAGGCTTGTGCTAATAAAATTAGCATGATGTATTTGTGGGAAAACGTGCCCAGCAAAAGACAAGGGCTTTGTCTGTGAATCCTGCAAGTTATAATGAAGCCCATTTGTGTACTTGCAATTGAAATTGTCGCTATTTAGCCACGTATAATGTGTGTTTTAGGCGTGTTTTAAATCAACTAAACTTTACAGAAACCACACCTACGACTAGTGTTTTGGAGGTGTAACTTCAGAGTGAAACAGACACACCACCACACAAGTATAAATGCTCAGAGTAGCAAAGGTCACTTGCATAGGCTATGGCATACACTCTGCACAGAGCTAATGCACAAATATAAATCCGCCTTAATTAGCTACTAGCATTTGTGCACTGTTGACTGTCGTCCTCTTCAGTTTCAACAAAGCTCCTCGAAATATTCTCCTCCTGATTCGCGCTTCTCTTCCCAATAGTTTCCATTTGGAGCCAAAATTGCAGCATTTCTAAACCATTCATTTTACCCACAGTTACTATGTTGCCATCACAGTTCAGCCAACTAATCAATGATGTATGTTCTATGTTCATGAACATCACTACATAGACAGATATCAAAACAAAACAAAAGCAGAAAAAATTCTCATAGTTAACGAACGATCTACCATAACTGTAGATAATTCACATCCGTCTCCAGTTGATGGCGTGTGCATGTTAATTACCTGTTGTCTAGTCTTCTAGTCTGTATAGTCTTTGATCTCACATTCATGAGCTTATTGTCCAGCATCGCATTGTTTAGGCTACATACTGCTGCAAAATGTTTCTTTAAAAAGCACAATTATTGTGATGGCATTGATAAACCCAATGAAAACAGAGGGACTGATGTGGTGAAAAAGTCATTTATCTGCTTCATGTGGTGTTGAAATGAAGAGTGACTGCATGGTTGTTGCCTGTTAATCTTTTCTCTCCATGCCCTCATAAATGCATAATCTATGGGGTCAGCACAGCTAGTGGTGCTAACATAGTTAGCAACAGTGCTAAAGGGGTTTTTGCAGCTCCAAAAGAAGCTGCTTACTCACTGTGGCTACCTGGGATGCGATCAGAGGGTGGCCACCATGTACCACAGCAACAGTGTGCTTTCACTGGGACGGCGTTAACAGTGGTAATCACCAAATGAGCAGTGCGCTAACTAAAATTAGCTCCCACCTGACCCAGGATGGTGCACAGTGCAGAGCAGACGAGGCGGCTAACCAGTGGAGACTGGAGATGGGCCAAAATTAACGGAAAATTGACATCCCTACTTAGTAACTACATTTTCATCAGTTTTTAATTACCTAAAAGAAGAATTGTTTTGTTTTCATTACCTTCGAATTTCTATCTACATATGGAGCACATCCTCTTACATCAAGTCCGCCATATTGTTTCTACAGTAGAACACAGTTCTCCCACACACTTGGCACACAGGGGAATTTTCAGCTCTGCAACCCTACCACTAAATGCCACTAAATCCTACACACTTCAATTGCAGCATTGCTTTGCTATCATTGCTGGAGTGAAGTAGTTCCACCTGTGTTTTTCCAGCTATGACAGGTCCAAATGTCTGCTTTGAATGCTGTGCTACCAATCTGATTGATTTGGGAATAATTAAGAGACAACAGTTACAGAGCATAGCAACTTGTAAATTATTACAATTTAATGAGAAAGCAAAATAATAAAATGTTTATTTTTTCTCCACTATTGTTGCTGTCAATAAAAATCCAGTCGGTTTAAATGTTGGGGTGCCTTGAAAGTTTCTTGGCTTGGAAAAGGAAGCATGACTAAAAAGGGAATCATTAGTATTAACTGTTGATTTATATAATCTTGAGCTTAACTCTTTCTTAAATTAAAACCTCTGCCTAACATCTTCCTTTACTTTTGCCCACAGCTACAGCCAGTCCCAGGTTTTACTGCTTCACTCTGTTTTGCATTTGAGTCTGGAGTGCTGGCAATACAGATACAGGAATGTCTCACCACCAATCCCATGCTCTTTCTTTACTCCATAAATAGTGCAGCATCTCCAAAGCTCTCGGCATTCAGAGTTAAATGCTCACAGTGGGAACATTTCTCCATAGCTCCAGCCTCACCTCCTACTGGGAATATACAGTAAAATCTGCACAGCACAGCACGCTTTTAAAGGTGAACCAGGAGGAATGGGCTTTAAATTATTTCTGTAACACTAGACAATAGGGAATGTAAAAATATAAAAGGGTCTTGAGAATTTATCTACGACTGAAAAGAGCATGACTTTTTCCCTCTGAGCAGCACACAGTGGAGCAGCCTGTGGTTGAATATATACACAATAACGTCACTGTGTGTGCTGCTCGTTGCATGGTGATATTGTTTGGATTGTGGTGGTTCTTGCAGTGTTCTGGGTAGAAGTTGAGCAATATTTTGGTGGATATTTTCAGCTGTGTGGCGGCTGAAAGACTGTTGACTAGGCATTCATCAAATGAGAGGTTACAGAAATTGAAAGGTTTTCATCTGAAAGAAGCAGAGGTGTCATAAAATTATTTTAGGGCAGCCTGATGTCATTGAAAGGCTTACAATGTATGCAACATTGATGTTTTTTGGTACTAACTGAACTGTGCCTGTTCAGCCAGGTTGCTTAAAATCGAACTTGTTTAAGCTTGTAAATTGGACCACACCACCAAAACCAGAGATTGACTCAACCCTGGTTAGCTTTCACTATCACTTTAACTAGCAACACAAACAGTATCTGACAATTCCTGCACCTTTAAATCATTAAAAAAATTATGCATTTCAGATGTTCAGAGAAAGGGAGTAGTCATTAATACTGGAGGAACTATAAGGCAGTAAGATATTGACAAAGCATTGTTTCAGCATCACAGTGAAACTCATGCATCATACTGGCACTGCATCGGAAAACTTTCAAATGATACCCAGTTGTAGACACAATGGGGAATAAATGGAAGAATAAAAGTCATGTGTTGGCTGTAAATAATACTTCAAGGAGGAGAAAGAAGAACACACACACATCACGTAGAAGTAGTGTTAAGTGTGCATTTGTGTGTGTGTGTGTGTGTGTGTGTGTGTGTGTAAGAGAGAGAGAGAGAGAAACCTTTGTGAGATGGTGAAGAAATCCAGTCAAGTCTCACACCTCTACTCTAACGGTCTCATTCATCATTGTGCTCCAGACAGCACAAGGGTCACCAACACACACACACACACACACACACACACACACACACACACACCTCATTATACGAGAAAGCAGGGTATAGCTGCACCCACCGCCTCTGCTCTGAATTCACCCAAAGCATCATTCACATCTAAACAAGGTCTGAGTGACCTGACCTTGGAAGGCAGGCAGCAGCCAGCACTTTGCTTTCATCCAGCCAGGAGGCAGGAACACAGGTACATAAACAACACCACACAGCCAAGAGGGGTGGCCAGGACTTCTGCAACAGTCATTTCACTGATACCACCCCAAATATTTCAGTATTTGCTAAAAACAGCTGAACAAAAAAACAAATCTGACCTGATCCACTGTGTTCCACCGCTGACAGGATGTCTGTTAGTCCTTGGCCACAGCTATTTACAAGGAGTTGGGCTCCCAGGCATGAGCAACGATGGCGGGGGAGGGTGGCACTCAATGGGAGAGGCGACTTTTTACACAGAAGAAAGGAAGACAAAATATTGTTCTCATCAGTGTCAAAATTATGGTTCACATATGTCACTAAAAGAAGCAAAAACACAGGTAAAAACCCGTAAGGTAATCTTGCAAGACAATCAGATATTTGCATAGCAACCAATCAGCATATTAAGTGAGGTAGAGGATGGAGACTAGGGATGGGCAAACGATCAAAATTCATTATTCAATCATCAAAAAAATTAATGATCAATTATCAATTATTTGATAAGCGAGTATTTCAAAAGACAGAAAACAAAAGAGTGCAGTGCAGACTGTCACCGCAAGAGAGCGCAGCTGCCCCAGTTTTGAGCTTCAACCCCCCAGGCCAAAGAGGAAGAATGGCGCGCATGCGCAATTCACCCCTGGGTGTTTACAACCGTTGCCAGCCAGAGTTACAGGCTTCAGTTTTCAACAAAACCGCCATCTTTCAATGGCGTAGTGTTTTCAAAGGCCTCAAGGGAAGCCGCCGAGGCTTTGGAGAGCGATGAGAGCCTCCATCTGTTTCTGATTTTTTGCCTGGCATAGGTCCGGCGGGGGTCTCGTAGGCCCGTCGAGCCGCCGTGCTCGCCAGGCGGAAGGGTCTCGTTGGCACGGCGACTCGCCGGACCTATGCCAGGCATTGTAGGGGAAACACTGCGACTATCGATCAAAATTACTTGTGATCGATCAAAAGCCTTAACAATCAATCATCGATAATCGAAAATTGATGCCCATCCCTGGTGGAGACTGCAAGAAAACTGTGTGTACCTTCTACCAAATTTATTCAAGTACAAAAACATAATTTATGAATTATAACAACAGATCCAAGTACACATTAAATAGTACCCCAATGAACAAAGGTGACAATACCTTGTACAGAATAGACAACCCTGAAAGATATGTTCGTTTAATACCTCTGCCACTCACTTCTGTTTTTTCAGTGCCAGCACATTTTAAATTCTTCTGGTTCACCCAATTTACATCAACAAGGGTGGGCTAAATAAGAGAGACACCTCTCTGTATGAGGCAATAAATGAAAAACATGAGCATTAAGTGAAATCAACACTATATAAACTTCATTAGGTTTTAATGCAGCACTGTTGGATCACTGCATTAGTTTTAGGTAGATGTACCTAATAACTGGGTGTTTGCTCCCTGCAGGATGCATTGTAATAACTTTGGTGCTATTTACCTATTGGCATGTTAGCACGCAAAGCTGAGATGGTGACCATGGTTAAAACATAAGCTCCATTCCATTTACTTCAGATGGCAGAGCTGGGAACAACGTCAAACCCAAGTAGATTGTGTTCCAGAACAACAAGTCGGAAAATCATAATGATGTTAGCAATATCAGTTCTAGCCATGTTAGCCAGTGTTAGCAATACCAGTTGCGCATACAAACAACATAGTATTATATCCAAAGATAGGTTGAACAGTACTGTGCATATGACTGTTTTAATGATAAAAGAAAAAAGTGCTAAACAGTATATTACTACAGCTTTTACTACTGTTGATGGGCAGAGCAGCCATCATAGATTTTAAGGTCGGGGTTGGTAAGGATCTTCAAACTCTCCAAGTCAGAAATCCAACTTCAGGGGGCATTCCAGTTAAAATTTCAGACTGGGAACTCTGAAATATCCGACTTCCAAATGCAAATGGAACGCACCAATAATACCTGCTGAATATTAATGTTAAATACAGTACAGTTATAATAAAGTTAAATAAAGTACTATTATAATAAAATCAAATAAAGTGCTGTTATAATAAGTTTAAATACTGTGCTGTTATAATAAAGTTAAATGTTAAAATAAAGGTAAATAAAACGCTGTCATTAAAAAAAGTTAAATAAAGTATTGTAACACTAAAAGTACCACTGGTGCTTCTATTCTGAAGCACCCAGCTTGTCTGAGGCCAGAGGTATTAATGTCTTTGCTGTGGAGTTGAAGCTTCTGGTCAACAAGTAGATGTTGGCAGAAAGTTGAACTGCTACAGTGGTGCCATTAAACGTGATTTATTCATTGTGACTGGGAAACCAACTAAAAGCTCAATGAAACACCAAAATGAGTCTCATGCTAGTGGCTAAAAAGAAATGACATGACAAATTATACTCAGTGTTTGTGATATAGTCATTTTACACATCCCAATTGGAACAAGCTGCAATACACTGAGTATAGACAATATATTTCCCACCCCCATACTGAAGTGAGGAGCTATCTGTCCAGACTGAGCACTGGTTCAACATTGTTGATAATGGGATCAATGAGATTACACAGCGTCAGGTGCACAGCTGCCCAGGCACTGATAAACTCGGTGAAGTGTCAGTGTGTGAGTGTCACAACACACACGCACACACAGACACACAGACACACAGACACAGACACAGACACACACACACACACACACACACACACACACAAACACACACAAACACACCCTGCTCCGTGTTATGACCGGCGGCCTCCTCACAGCCTCAGGAGGTAAAACCCACAGCTCTCTCTTCACTCAGAGACAAAAATCCATAACATGCTAAACCTTGAGGGGCCACTGGTGCACCTCACCCCTCCATCTGCAGGTCCCAGTCAATTCCCAGTGAGACCAGTCCAAACCAAAGTAAAGGCAAGAGAACGCATTTTTGTAAAAGGGAGGCGGGAGTGTGTATGTGGGGGATGATTAGGAGCTGGGACAGGTCATAGGCTTGATTTATGACTCATCTCAACGGTCGTGGTGCAATCAAAACGCACCAGTGGTCCCATTTTGCATCCACATCCTCCTCCCCTGGTGACGTGGACAAGGGAGGCTGGGAAAAAACTGTGTGAAAAAGTGTGTGTGTGTGTGTGTGTGTGTGTGGGAGAGTGTATGTTGGGGGTTGGTTGGTGCTGTGTGAGCACCTCTCACCCCTTCTATTCCAATACAAGGGACGAACAGCTACATAAAAACACAAAAGGCCCCCTCCCAGCCCCCATTAGTCCCTTGCTGGTTGTAACTACTAGTACATATGTGTGTGTGTGTGTGTGTGTGTGTGTGTGTGTGTGTGTGTGTGTGGAAAAAAATGTCAATCAGTAATGAGCACATCCAAAAAGCTGCCTACTAACAATTACGGGGTGGGCAGAGGTTTTTGTTTTCATATCCTGCATGTCGCAGCTCATGGATACTCGAGGTCGCCAAGGGGCAGTGGGAGTTACATTACAGCACGCCAGTGCTTAGTGTTACTGCTACTGTAGCTCAGTGTGTGACATAAACAGTAACGTGGGAGGGAAGCCGCGGCTGGTCAGTCCTTCGGCGATTCTCTCATAAGTTGACCCGTCCTTCACCGTCCACATGCCAAAATTGGGCACCTCGGATCAACGCGCCAATCCGGCTCTGTGTGTCTAAACACTCGCAGTTTGCCGGCAAAACAGCCCAACATTCGCGGAAAATCTGGCAGTGTAAAAGGGGCTTCTGTGTTTACCGTTTCACATAACTTGATTCCAGCTATCTGTTGTACTATGGAGTTAGCCATTAGCTGCCATCGTCAGTTAGAGGGTGCAACTGTAAGCACAGTTGTTAAGTAATTCGTGCAAGTAACGTGCAAGTTATGAAGTTACCCGAATTTGATTATTGTGAACTGTTTATGGGTAAATAAACATACTTCATTTTAAAATTAAGTTTATTGTAATGTAATGTTTAATGTAATGTTTTATTTTAAAATAGCAAATAGCAGTTAGCAGCTAATCCAAAGAATAAAAACAGTGGCTGAAAATGTCTGCAAATTGGGAGAATAATGAGGTCTGGGAGCTCCTTATCATCAGAGCGGAGGACGACATATGCTGCCATATAACAGGGACAGTAAATGACTGTTATTGTCATGTTAATGCCATTGTTGTTGTTGTTTAGAAAGCGCTGTCGACGCTCATGTTACATGTCACACTAGAGGCCAACACTGTGTTACATATCACGCCCATCACACCTCTTTTGCATGCCAGAGTGCTGGCTGTCTAAAATCATACACTGGAGCGGCATGATGCTGCCGTTGTTTGGTTCTGTGTAAAAATGCAAAGGCGGTGTACAGAAGGGACTTCGTAGCAGCACTGTAGCACAGTCTCGGTGTTAAAAGGGCCAATATGAGTAGAAGTGTCAGTGCACTGTAGTCCCCTACAGTGTGACAGATGAGCTCCTTGTTAACAGATCAATAAACAGGAATGACACACACATTCACACTGTAGCATCAGACTACAATATACAACCAGCCTGCTTCTGCATGCAAGATCACAGCCTCTCAGCTGAGTATACACCTCCACTCCTGCAGGTTGCAACAGGATTATCGCCAGGCAGATTTGTGTGTATTTCTGGCCTACAGATAAACAACAGACAACAATAGACCGGTAGCCACTGAATATAACCACACCCTTTGCCATAGACTGTGAACAAACACATCTCAGTTTGCTCTTGTCTACAGTGACAGGGGGAGAATTTGTCTACTCTCTTAAAGTCACATTTTATGACATGCAGTCCATAACCGGCACTGATAACTGCTCTCATTCTCACTCTTGCTGTCTCATTGTCACTGCATTAGGTTCAGAAAAGTCCTCTTACACACTATTGTCCTTCCATGACCTGTGACAGGATTTACCAGCTGCATCTGGAGAAGCCCTATTAACTAGGAACCACAAAGGAAAACGCTGGGATTGTGGAAGACTGTCATATTGGTTAACTTCCCTGATTTTCTTTTAACCAACGTTATTCTTGTAGTTTTGGTCATCATTTTTAAACCATTATAACATTCTGGTAACCAGTTTCGATGCTTACAATTAGGGACATGACAACAAAATTAAACACTGCACAAAAACACTAGACCAAGAGACAGGGGCCAGCAAACTTTTTTTTTTCTTAATGTTTTTCTTGCTTAGGTGTCCCTGTGTCCCCTCTCTGAATTCAGGGTTTGTGGGTTTTTGAGTCGTGGGATGGATAATTGGTCAGTCGATTTGATCAGGGCTGATCAAATCAGATTGATGGATG